ATTTATTAATTAAAAATTTACTTTTTAAAAATTATTTTTATATTATTTTTATATTCTAACTTATTCAAGAAACTAAAAATAACAATAATACTAAGAAATGTTAAATATTAAGAAAATATTGAATTTAATACAAAATATTTCTGTAACACAAAAAATTATATTATATTAAATTAACTCTCAAATATGTGGAAAATTTAACACAAAAATTTCAACAAGGATCAATTTTAATTCAAATATAAAATATTTTTTATTACACAGTTAATTCCATTTTACTTTCTTCTTAATGGCAAGGATAATTTTTTCATAATTCAATAAATAAATATTAAATTGAGGATGCTGTATTTAAACTAAATGTTTGTGAAACACATAAATTTATGTACTACGAAAACTTATATTTGAACATTTTTTTATATTTTGTTTTTCAAATCGTTCCTACATATAAATAACGAATAAATGTAACAAAAGAATTGTGAAGTTAATCGATAAACCATTTTTTGCAATGTTTCTCGTTACACACGACGTTGTTAAGATGCGCATATAACGCGCATATGCGTTTCTAACAATCGTATTTTTCAAATATAAAATAGTTACACCCGAAGGCTTTCAAATATCAAGATAACTGATTCACTCGACAGAATCGTTCAATTAAACAGCAATTCCATCGATTTTATACGATATAAAGCGATTATATAACAATGTAGTCATGTTGACAGTGTCGTATGTGAAAGCGCAATTTCGCACAAAATTTGATTGCTCGATACTCATATTGCTTTGGATGAGAATCTAGAAGAATGTCTCTTTATATTTCTATTTGCATCAGATCGAGGAAATAAATACAGATATTGATTTAGAAAATCAAATTATTTGATTAAAAGTACTCGATAATTGAATTTAAATTGCGATAGTATTTGAATATTCTGTATACATCAGCGTCTATCTGTATTTTTTTCCATCATACAAAAGTCGTATTTCTGACTGAGCGAAACCTAATAGTTAAAAAAATTGACTGCGTCATGTTTCACAAATATATATATATATATAT